TGAACAATGCACCAATGCCCCTCCACCAAACGATACTGAACAAAGGCTGGACGTTCAGGCATCGCCATCTCCGCACCGAGTGAACATGAATGCTGTCTACGGGAATGATAGAAATGCATATCCTGCCCTGGCAGTTAGTTGTCGACTCGGCGTCGCACACGTGGGGTCAGACGTGCATGCATCAAGTCAGACCCACATTCCAGACAGTCACATAAACGGATCAAACCAACATGATCGAACCCCTTTGGGCCCACAATCCAAAGCAATCGCGAATGACGGCATGCAAGGCAATACAGCCAATAATGGCACCTCACAAGCGCCAGTATGGACACACCCTGGATCAGCAGGCTTAGGGGACTTTGCTAGATACCTGGCTCACCACGAACTAATCAACACAGGACTCGTTAAGTTTGATGACCACTCTGAGAACTATCGAGCCTGGAGATCTACCTTCAGGAATGCAATCCGAAATGCAGACATCTCTGCAAGTGCAGAACACGACCTGTTGGTGAAATGGTTAGAAAACGAATCTGCAGAGTACGCAAAGAGGATCCGGTCAGCAATCATAGACGACCCTGCCTCAAGCCTGCATGCTGTGTGGGAGAGGCTCGAGGAGTGCTATGGTAGCCCAGAAACCATTGAGAAGACTCTCTTCAAGAAGTTGCAGAACTTTCCAAAAATCTCTGATCGAGACAATGAAAGATTGCGAGAGCTTGGAGATCTTTTGATGGAGCTTAAATCAGCCCAGGCTGACCCCTACTTACCAGGTCTCATTTTCTTGAATACCTACCATGGAGTGAACCCCATCCTAGAGAAATTGCCATTTCACGTGCAGGAAAAATGGAGAACAGCGGGTTCAAGATACAAGTCTGAGCATCAGGTTGCATTCCCCCCATTCTCTTTTTTTTCTCAAAGTTTATCTGCAACCTGGCTAAGACCAGAAATGACCCGAGTTTTATGTTTGGCACCACGGGGGTTTCCAGTCCAGATCTCCCAAAAATGGAAAGGGCAATGGCAAAACGAGGAACAGCAAGAGTGCCAATTTCCGTACACAAGACTCAGGTTTCTCCTATGGCATTCGCAAACTCCGTCCAGGCAACCACCACAAAGAAAAAGATAAATGATCCAGAAAAGCAATGCCCATTGCATAATAAACCTCACTCCCTCCAGAAATACCGTGAATTCAAGAGGAAGCCATTGGAAGAGTGGAAGAACATTCTGAAAGAATTTGGAGTATGTTTCAAATGCTGTGCTTCTACAAACCACCTTGCAAGGAATTGGAAGGCAGATATCAAGTGCGAGGAATGTGACAGTGACAAACACGCAACTGCTCGGCACACATTTTACTCCACCACAGTGGCACTAAGGCTTCCGATCCAGAAGCAGAGCACGGCAGGGAGCAAGGCGAAACCGCTGCACTTCGTCAACCACAACCAAATGCACAGAAGTCTGTGGAGAAGGCTTCAAAGGAAGATCTAGCTCAAAGATATGCCTTAAAGTGACTACACGCAACAGAAAATCCAGGAAAAAACAGCAGTCTTCCAGAAAAAGCACCGTATTTCAACGCTGTGCAAAATCCCAGTGGGATGCAAGTCAAACAATAACCATAAGACAATTTAAATTAAAGTTATCAGACTAACTCTGTACTACAACAAAAACATGGCTAAACCAAAACGTTTTTAAAATCACCAAAATAAAGCGATAAAAACAATTTAACAGTGATCGACCTAGGCGAGGCAATAACCGATTCAGACAATCGTCACTGGTCTTTGCCGTGAGCGGGAATCTAACTGGTTGGCCGACTTCGTGGCGAAGTGTGTTCATCACGACACTACCGCTTCCCACATTTACACACTCATATCCCGCAGCATCTGCCCCGACAGCCTTAACAGACTGTTGGGGCAGGTGCTGTTAGCAAGCACATGTGAAGGCCAACACGGCTTGGTGAATGAGTTATTGTGTGAGAGAGAGCTTGAGAGGGTGGGCAGGTGGTTTTGTGAGTGATTGATTGGTATAATCTTGATTTGAAGCTTTCGTGACTGCAGGAATCCATATTCTCGTTGTTGTCGTTGTTGTATCCTTAAATCTTGTATCTCAATTTTAACCCACTTCCCAATGTGGTATCGACTGCAAACTTCGTATACTTATGTCTTAATAATGACAATACGAAATTCTATCATAAAAATATATTTTTAAACAATCTTTTAACGCGCTTTCTATTAACTCTGTCTGTTGTCGTATCCTCAAATCTTGTAACTAAATTTTAACCCACTTCCCAATATGGTATCGACTGCAAACTTGGTATACTTATGTCATACTAATGACAATACTATATTCTATCATTAAAATACAAATCTTAAACCATCTTTTTTATATGTTATGTTTCGCCTTGGGTCTAATTGTCCACACTCAACTCACGTTGGCTGTATATCACCACGGTCCCTTACGTTATGGCAAGCCTCGGGGCCACTTCCTGGAGTCGTGGAGTTCTGCCATTACTCGTACGGTACATTTCATTAAAGCGTGTTTTTTTAAAGAAGTATTTTTTAATATTACTTATTACTTTTAATTGCATCACGTGATATAATAATTATTTACATTTGTAAGACTTTCCTGGGCTTCCCCGGGTTTGGTTGGAGTGGCTCGGGTACTCCGTTGGACAAACATCAATGAGAGACTCCTCTGCATTTTCTCCTCTCGATGGCAAAGGCAAGCGTTGGTTGGGGATTGCTCTTTTTGGGGGGTTTTCATGGATTTGATGATGGTCATTCACACTCGGGTCAACAAATCCGCTTTGTTACAGGCAGTTGGTAGGTGGACCACTGGCATGGGGCAGTGACATGCCGGAGCAGCTCACTGCTCGCTGTAGAGGTTTATTATTTGAGACCCACGGCCGCCCGTGTTTAAAGATCCCGTGACGTTATTTGAAAAGAGTCGGCCCTGTCTGTCCAACAACATGGTCCAGTGTGCAAATTACACGCAAGTAACTTAATCACAAAGCAATGTCGCCCTCTACTGGGCAGCTGCGGGCCTTGTACGAGAAGAACGGTGCCAATCGCAAATGTAATCAATGTAATCCAGTATTTTTTGGAGACTCCATTTCCTTTCCTATGCTTCCAATGTTTGTCGCATTAATGCCCAACGTAAAACTCATTGTAATTTGATGTAACTCACTTTCAAATATATGTGTTACCTGCCTTTCATGTAATTTATTTATTCCAAAATAACTCATCCACCTCCATGATTATAGCTTTTACCTTTTCAGCGCATTGTGGGTCATGGCCCCGTGTTTACTCTCTCCCTATGTGATTCTATGGGTCTTTGTGCAATGTAACGTGTACCACGTGATCAAGAGCTACGTTCGCCTAATTCACACTAAGGCCCGGCGTGTTGTCATCTTTTTATTTCTCGACAGCAACATCGTGTAAGAGATGTGTAAAGATGTATGGTTGTAATTACCATAAACTCTCCTAAATACACGGGTTTAATGTGATGCGCTTGGTTGCAATTTCTATTGCATCTGTTGCCCTTGTTTTGTTGTCGTATAGACTAAGTGCAATGTTGATGCCGGAAAAGCATAATATACAATTCTAATACAAATGTTAATTGCTTAATTTATGCATCACCCACCCCTTCTTCCAAATCCATCCCCAACCCGACACATTTCAACGTTATGCAGTGTATTCATGTCTAAAAGGTCGAGATGGGCAATCATATCACCTAAGTAATCTATACTCTATAGATTAGCAGTTTAATTGCTCAATCAATTGTATGAGATGAAAAAGCCGGACCTCTGTTCACAGAAGTGCTTCTGGGCTCGGCTTGTAGTGGCATCGGGGGATGCCACTGCTTTCCACACTAGGCCGGCCCGTGTGTGGAGCACGGGCCGTGCTGCTCACACCACCTGCAGGACGGCGGTTGTGCAACGTGCACTCCATGTGCAGTGTCAGCGCTCGGAGGCAAGGGGGCGAGAGCGCGGGGAGCTGCGCATGGGTGACAGGGGGCCATGGCACTCCGGACGAACCCGGAGGGCTCGTGGCCGGATGTGCCGGGGGTGGGGCCCCCAAAGAGGAGGGCTCTGGGACCCCGGGACCAGTTCCAGGGGCCTCTGGAAGGGTCGAGAAGGGAAGGCGTGCCTCGGGGCGGAGGAAGCCCCGGGACTGGGGATATAAGCCGGACCCCTAAACGGGTCCGGCGGTTGTTGCTGATCTGAAGTCATGAAGACGTCCTCCAAACGAAGAAGTCCTGGGGTGAAGACCAGGACTCGAGTCGGAATCCGGCTTGACGGCTCCCTTCTCCCAGTCGCGTTAGGGCAAGTTAGCCCGGAGGGACCATCTTCCCAGTTACCTAGTGAAAGGGGCAGCCACCCCTTGTGCTCGCAGTTATAATAAAACGTGTGCCTCCAAGAAGTCTCGCTCTCCCTCTGTACCCACTGCACAATTGAGCACGTCGCGCGAGGTGTGGATTTGAAAGGGGTTCCTGCCTTCAGAGGTCACGATTAACGTCATTTGTAAAGGGGCCTGAGTAATCGACTACAAAATAAGTAGACCATACAAGTTTTTGTTGATTAATCGACTGTATTAACGAACTGTCCAAGCTATTATATGGATGCGACACAAAGTAAATTCTGCTCTTGTTCAGCAAGAGAGGGTTATGGTGTCACGTGGGAAGAGGCCGAGGAAGCTTGGAGAATCACGATTGCTGGTCAAGGTGCTCCTGCTGGGTCCGTGGGATTCGGACCTCTGCAGGTTGAGTGCTCTCAATTATGTGCATCAGTGGATTTCTACAGATTACTTCAGAATTGAAGCGTTAAGATGGGGTGAGGCCATCCTGCGTTAATATTTCCATTCGTATTGAAGTTAATTCGCGAGTAGTTCTGACATCTTCCAGTCATGTTCTGGCACAATGTGGTGCACTGCTCATCATAAGAGATGTCTGCCTTATCATAAGATGCCAGTGGCATGATTTAAATGAGGTTAAAATAGATTTCAAACTACATATGACTGTCAATTTTATCCACTTTATTGAACTGAAGCACATGCATTTGCACACAAGGTGGGATTTATTTGTTATTGTAATGCTGGGCAAAATTACAACTTTATTAAACAATCCTAGTTTGTACTCAGCAGTTTGCCCCGTCGACACACTCAGCATATCTGCCTTTCATGCTCAAATGACAACACTGGCCAACAGTTCATTGCGAGCGTTTTACTGAACGTGCCCAAAATATCACTCGACGTGTGCTCATTGCCACAGAGCGAGTTTACAGAATGGTAAGAGAACGACCGTCACCAAGAGTTGATCTGCGTAACATCGCGTGCCAATCTGCAAACAGGAGTGCAACGGAGGTGTGTCCGTCATTGGTCAGTGATGACTTTAGTGTCGAAGCCGTCCCAATGCTCTGCCGTCAATCGTGTGCTCATTCCACACTGTAGAGCCTTCACAGGAATTATACAATGGGAAATAGTACATTATCGATATCCGAGGGTGGTTTATCCAGATTGCAGATTAACCTTGCAGAAAATAATAAAATGTTCATGCACCCGCGGGTTAATTATTAAGTTCTCACGTAACTGTAAATAGGTCAGCAAGTAACCGATTACTTGGATACAAATGGATGGCATCCGATCTCACCGCCATTATATGTAGATGAACAAATATTTAAATAACTAATTTTCTTGTTTGACATTATCCGTATTGTTTTATCTAGGCAACCCCTCCCTCCCATTACCCTGGATAACTGAGAGTTGACAGTGACATCATGAGAAATGACATCACAGGAACTAATGGCAATTTACTTGAAGTGGAACTTTGAGGTGTTGGGTCACGTTAAGCAAGTGATGGCATTCAATGGCAGTTTGGTTTCAGGTTACATTTCATTGCTCTGTCGCCGCTTGACATTTCTTTAATTTCACGAAAACATTCCAGGCAAAATTTAGGCTTGGAGATGTCAAATTTCCACGAGAACTGGGGAACTGTGCCAGAACAGCGTTTGACCAGAGAACATGTATTTCCAAATGAAGAATCATATGAACTCTTACCTATTACAATTATGTTAATCGTGTTGTTACCGACGATCGCTTGACATAAATGGGCCTGTGTTCAGTAACCGTTTGTTGAACTAAAAAACTTCTCCGCTGTACCAATCCCTACTGGTTGCCAAAGACAGAGGTAGGGCCACATTTTCTAACCACACGACCTCTCAGGCTCGAGTTGACCCTAAATTCCGCTGTGATGTCTCGAGTTCAACTCTGAAGAGACACGCTTGTGTTCAACCCAGCGACATGCTTCATATTATCAGCAGCCATGGTCTATCCACTGCTGGATGAAGACCTCCCCATGCCATCTCCCTCATGCTCGCGATGCCACCATCCATCTCGCTCTGCTGACCTCACTGCTCCGTCTCTCAGGCACATTCTCTTTGCCTGCCGTTCCCATCGCCAGTCTCGTCCGTTGGTCATTATCCATTACAGTGACGTGTCCTGTCGATACCCATTTACTTTCCTTGATGGTCAATAATGTCTAAAATTTGTGCCTCTTCCCTCCGATCCACACGTTCCTCTTTGTGTCAAGTGTATTTCAAAGAATGTATGTCTATCCATAAATCTTTGAACACTTTTCAGATGAACGTTTCAGATATACGGGGGAAAAATAACAAAAATAAATTTGAATGCAAATTAGTCTGACCTCGTCTGTAGCTAAATTAGCGTGTCAGAATCTTTTTTTTTTAACAAACGTTTCCCTGACCACCATTAAACGACCGGGTAGAGCACAGGGAGAAGGGCTGAGGCCAAGGGGAGCCCCACCATTCACCAGGCGTGGGTGCACACTTGCGCAATCGGATCGCTCTTGAATATTCAGAATTTTAAACAAAGCAGAGACATCCACATTCAGTTGAATAATTTCTTTCGGACCATATGTAGCTAACTGTGCTAATCGGAGGTGCGGGGGAAGGACAAGATACTAAACACAAAAAGCGGTTCGATAGAAATGAGTTTTCAATTTAGATTTAGAAGTGCGTAGCTCCAGTGGCTTCCTATAATTGGAAGTGTTCCAGGTAGCCGCAGAAGCACATCTGAAAGCGCGTGATGCAGTGACCACCTTTGTTCGATGGTTAGCCAAAAGCCGCTGCTGCGAGGATGACCGTAATTTGCGTGATGTGACCACGTTCCAGAACTGATCGTTCAGGTGTGGACCTGGCTCTAGAACAGTTCCTGGTGCCATTCCCTGGGTCAGGGTAGCCTGGTTACCATTTGGTGATGGGAACGCAACATGAGAATCACTGAATTCAAGCAAGGACACGCTCACACTCACACACACACTTGGAGGGCAAGACTCGCATTGTAAACATTGCTACGTGTAGAATGACCTCAAGCCCCTTCACCACCACCACCACCACCTCGACCGCCACCACAATCAGACCTAGGGGTCAATTATCATTACAATGACAGTGGCCATGTGAGCTCAAATTATGACCGCGATGCCACTGCGATTGCAGTTCATTACGATTAACGACACGATTACAACTGTAATTGAGCCCAGGTACAGCGGTCATCGCTGCTACTCGGGTTGCTCCTCCTCATAGTGGGCATAGCCGCTGGCGTATGTGCGGCCCAGGTTCATTGCTCCGAACGGACTCTCCACCTCCTCTCCTCCTGCAGGCATCGCCTCCTTCACCTTGTCGGCCACCTTGCCGTCACCGGCTTTGCCCTCCTCTTCCTCTTCCTCCTCCTCCTCTTCTTCGTCATCGTCGTCGTCGTCGTCATCTTCCTCATCGTCGTCATCGTCAGGGGAGCGGGAGGCGGTGGCCCCGCCCCAGCCTCCCCAGGCAGAGGCCCCAGTGGCCCCGTAGCCGCCGTAGCCGCCGTAGCCGCCGTAGCTGTCGTCGTCCTCCCCGCCATCGTCGCCCACCCCCGACTGGCGGCCAAACTTCACGCTCCGCGCTGTGGGGTGGGGAGGGGGTGGGGCGGTACACGACGAGGGAGGATGGGGCGACACGGAGGTGTCAACCGGAGGTCCGCCGAACACATCATGTTGCGGACTGACGTAGCGTCCGCATTTAAAGCCGCTGCCGTGCAAAGATGATGGGCAATCAAATCTGCACGCGAGTCTCCGGGTTCTCAGGTGGGGTTAAGCTGGAGTGCGTTTGCCACTTTCTGCAGAGGTCTGGCAGGCCATCCTGGTTAATACTACGGACATATAAACCATAAAATATTACGTGCTATTTATTTCCCCGTAGACGTTGGAGAACCCCGTGATGTAATTTTAAGAATAGTATGCCATCGTGTGCCAGCCTCGCAGTCCAAGTTTGATAAATGGTGTGCGTGTCGTCCACAAAGAACATACTGGACATGCTGAGGTCCTTTGTCTGCTGGGTCTCGTGGCCACACTTGGGGCAGGGCGGATTGTGGTTCTTCTCCTGCTTGAACACTTTACTCCGCACGTGATCCGCACAGTAGCACGCCTGCACAACACACGAACAAATTATGCACATCACACATATGTACATACACTTATAGATATACATATACACACATTCATTGAATCCAGCACACACGAAGACAAGACAAAGATCCCCCGCACAGCCATCAAAACTGTCAAAGCAAGTCCTGATATCGAGCACCTTTTTAAGGCTGGCATGGCACACAATGGAGTGGTGCCTACTACCACGCTTAGCCACCCATTTCCCTAGTTCTCGTTCACACCAGCTACTCATTTAAGGCTGAGTCAACCTAGAGAAGACACAGGACCGGTTCTGATATCACTTGCCACTGATATTTGTGGCTAGAAATGAAATCTGTATGCCACCACGTGTTCTTACGTTCTTGAGTCTTTAACAACATCAGCACAAGCACACACACCACAAACACACATAAAAACGCAGTGGATAAACAAGACTGCCGATCGTGATCATACCTTGCATCTCAGGCAGGAGTGCTGGCCGAGGCGATTGCAGGATACACCTGGGCAATGGACAGGGACTTGTTAACAATTCATACAATGAGCACGATAACAAAGATAAACACTGGGCACTTCTTCTCTGTATGGCAGATGTTGATGTAGAGCAAGAACTGTAATTAACATTGAGGTGGTCCAGCCAGGTGATTGTGTCAGCAGCGGAGTGTATCGCCGTGATTATGCCTCCGTCATTTAGATCTGAGTTTTAAACATTTCCATTTTTAAATCAAGTATTATGCATCTGCCATGAAATTCAGAAGACAGTACTGGAGCACACACTCCAATGCTACTGTGATTACTGTGCAGCACAGGATCGAACTGAACTGCCTGGCGCGTGGTGGTTATGCGCCAAGTGGTGCCTTACATGCTTGCAATCTGAGCTTTGGAAATGCAATTTTCATTTTCATAAAAAAGTTCACCCAAAAAATAATATAAGGGGTTAAACTAGTGGCTATGCACGCCTGTAGTCCAGCAGGGTGGAGACGAGAATTGGTGGATCAAATACATTCGTGAACCTCCCTCTCTACCTGTGGGCATCGAGATTACCATCTCCTGGCTTGCCAGGGGTTAGGTGGCAGTACAGCAATTGGATTAAATCTGTACAGTACCGTTACCCCCTTCACACACGTGGGTTTTATCCGGGTAATCTCGCTTTTTTAACACGTGTAGTGCGCTAATTAGATAGACTTGTACTTGGAGGCAACACTTGTATTTAACACAACGGGTAACTCTTAACAGGATAATAACATAGGGTGGTGACCACCACGGCTAACTACACTAATACTCGCGCGCTATTCTATAACCGGACCCGGACAGCCAAGGAGCTGCCTGGTCCACACGTGGAGACCGAGGACCGGGAATCGAGGACGGCGACTTCATTCCCAGAGCTGAACTCGGGTCCCTCCCGGGACCTCGCTTATATCCCCCGTGGCCTGGCTGGCTCGGCCCCTGGCCACGCCTCCCTTCCAGAACCCTCGTGGGGACTCTGGATCCCCCATCACGTGATCCTCTCACTCCCGACTGGGGCCCCCCTGCCCCCTCTCGTCCGGTCACGTGTCCCCCCCCGGGTTCACCCCGCGGTCACGTCCTGGTGCGACCCTCTTCACGGCGACACCCGTCCTCCACCCCTACAGTACCGCCCCACACACGGCACTGTCTCTGCACCGTGGTGGCCCCCTTGAGGCCACTACACATGTATAAACAATCATTAACAGTTGCCCAACATCCCAATATAGGACCACACAGCTTGTGCAATTGGTGGCGCCAGTTGATGGCTGCCTTCGCAAGCGCTCATCTGTGGTGTTCCGTGCCTCTCTGTAAAAACTGTTCGTTACAAATTCTTCAGTATTTTGAGATGCGATCTGCATGAGTGACGCCGCTATATGAATAAAGCAGGGCGGCTCTATCCAAAACAATTCACAATAATCATAGTCTTCACCATCATTGTGATTATTGCTTTACAGCCTCACATTTGTAGGTCTCGGCCTCCAGCACCTGGCAGCTTGCTTGGTGTTCAAACTGATCGTCCTCACAAAGGAAGTTGCTGCAGAATGAGCAGCGGAAAATGCGGCCTCCTGTACAACACAGGGGGAGGGACGAGACAAACACGGCCACTTACTCACTGGCTTCTTACCAGTGCAGTATCGACACGTAGGCTTTCGCGACCAATATTATTCATAATCAACGTTTTTGGGTTTAGATCGCGTTATTTATGTGTCGTAACCCTCCACCACCCGACACGGCCAATCAGTAAAAAAGTGTCACGTTGACAAAAGACAATTAGTTCACTGCTTTAGCCCACCGGTGTGTTGAAGCGTGAAACCACAACAATTTACAATTTGAGTACGACGTTTTACCAGCGAAACGTCGTACTCAAATTGAAAAAGAGCTCATAGCTTATCGGATTCCTCCAGTCTAAATACAGATTCTGATAACCACAACATCAAGAGCAACACTTGCACAAAGTAATGGAACATTTTAGAGCACAGTTTTTCTGTAGCCTATGGGAACCCCTGATAACGGCCAACCCTCTCCCTTTTGATATTAGGAAGCCACTGGAGCAATGCACTTTTAAATCATCTAGATTGAAAACTCATTTCTTGAGAGCTGCTTTTTGTATTTAGTTTGTTGTCTTTCCCCGCACCTCCTATTAGCACTGTTGGCTATGTACGGTGCGAAAGAAGTTCAACATACATACGTGCAGCACTAGTTACTTCAGTACCAACTTACCATAATCAACGTTTTTGGGTTTAGATCACGTTATTTATAAATGTCTGAACCCAAAAACGAAAGCCTACGTGTTAAACTGACCAACTTACCAGCGGGAACCTGGCGCAGTGGAAAACATTGGCACTGGGGAGACAAAGGTGGCCAGAATGGTGTTGGCCAAGCTAACATCTTCTGTGCTGGGCCCCGGGTTAATAGATGTCCACTAAAAGTGCATTGTAGGCTACACGTGAGTGTATGTGGGTGTGCATACAGTGTGTGAACATGTGAAGAGGCCGAAAGAGCGATGCTCACAATGAGCGGAGTGCCGGGGCAACTAAAATGCGGCAAGGTGGCAGTAGGGAGTCAAGGTGCTGCATTTGTCAGTCGGTCAGTCAACCCATGACACCTGGGGGTCTGTACCGTGACCTCGTGTCCGCAGCGAGAGACTTCCACACTTATCGTAACCTCTAAGTGCACTTAGCCTGGCACATGTGCTGTGGTAATGCCACTACCACTTAGTAGTGAATGGTGGCTGTTATTGTTGTTGTGTACGTATGTGCGCATGTGCGCGTGGGCGGGCTTCACCGTGGTCCCAGAGGCCACGTTCGCACTCCACACACTCGGCATCAGCCAGAGGACACGGGCACGAGTGGATGCTCAGGCACTTCCTCCCGTGGCAAATCCACGCTTCGCAGAAGTCGCACACGGCACCCTGCATGCAGAAGTGGGGGCACACGCATTACACACTCCCCACACACACACACAGGGGCACAACCACAACAGCCAACATCCACCACTAAGTGGCGATGACATCATCACGGCACTTGTGCCAGGCTAGGTACACTTTGAGCCCACGTGAAATGTCAAAGGCTCGCTGGCAGGGGGTCACGGGACTGATCATAGGTGCCATGGGTTGACTGACTGAGATGACTGGCAGAGGCGTTTTATCCGCCCGGCGCACCACTTGTTGTTGTGTCGCTCCTCTGCCCTCCGCTGTTGTTGGAGGGTGACTGCCTCCAACTGCCCAATAGCATCTTTCATGAGCCTCCTCCACAGAGGCCGATTTTGACACCGCTGTTACCAATCTATGGCGAGTCCACTCAGCTCCATATCCTCCTGTACTGCATCCCACCAGTTTAGTCCCATGAACCGGGTCAAACAAACTGTTTGGGCATGCCGTGACTGGGCATGCGGGATACATGACCCAGCCAATGTAGCCTTGACTGTTGGAGCTCACCAACGGAACCGTGCCCGTATTTTTCAAGGATTTATGAGCTACAGCCTGGTTAAACCAAAAATTGATTGTACGCATGTTTATAACTGGCGCAAATGTTCCATTAGAGGAGTTCATGTTTCGCAAGTATACAGAAGGGAGGTCAGGGCATAACTTTGGCCAAGAACACCTGTAGCTTCGTGTGGATTGGCACGCCAGGTAGCTTTCACACAGCATTATGCAACTGATGAAGATAATGCTGCGCAACTGATTCGGAGTGAGTGCGCTGCTGCCAAACCCGAGCTGCTCATAAGCACACTGCCCAAATATGTAATCTTTGCACTCTCTCCAAAACTGCCCCATCACTCATGAGGAGTTGAGGGGTGGAGTGTTACATGATACAATATACCCAGGCATGCAGTTACAAAGACAAAGATCCCCCGTATAGCCTTAACAGACTGTTGAGGAAAGTGCTTTTAGCAAGCATCTATGAAGGCTGGCACAGCACATGAGAATGTTGGTGGCTAGCACCACGTCTGGCCGCCTTTGTCTCCAAAGTGGTGATGTTTATACATTGCACCAGGTACTAATTTGAGGCTGAGTCGACCTAGGGGAAGTCCAGTGCCAGTTAAGATATTCAAATTCGGGTCACATGATTCTTGGCGCAGTACGCTAACCACTTCACCACTGCTCTCCACATCCACATTATACACACACGCATTGATACACACGCATTGATACACACACACAGATACACACCCACGTCGCAGCGCTCGGTGTTGTGTGTGTGCGAGAACCCAGGCCAGGCACTCACCACCATGGCGAGGCCCGTGCTGAACACGCCAGGGTGCCGAACTACACAGTCCGAGCTTTTCTGCATGCACTTGGTCTTTCCTGAGCGACACGGAGACAACGTTATAGATTTCAATGCAATAAGCCACTTCGTTGAGATACCATTTGTAGCCAGGTCATGTTTTAAAAAGAGCTACATAGCTCCGTGGGCCTTACCTGGTAACATACAAAATAGTTTAATAGTTTTAATTCTCTGACAGCGTGACAACCGACATTGGGGAGATTATGCCATTGCAGCCATATAAAGCTTAGGTGTAGCGGAGTGGCGGTGAGTCACCTACCACACTGGCCGCACATGGGCAGCTTTTGCACTGAGCTGCAGAAGTAGCAGAAGGCCCTGTTCTTCTGTCGCCTTCAAGGGAAAGCAGAGCGACACTCAGGCAACATGCCTATTCACAGGACACGTGTGCAACACAAGTCTCACCACCGCAGCTGCGTTCGGAGGAAGGGACGAGTGGACAAAATCACTTGAATGGTGCCGTTTCATTTCGTTATAAAAGCAACATGGATCTTCAGCAATGTGGGCGTTTCCTTCGGGAGATTAAATCGTACATAACCCTGAGAACAGCACGACTACCGCCCCCTCACAACTCAATGACGAGACATGAGCCGATCCAATAATGCACGTGTGTTTGTCCTATTGACCTAAAACAGATTCTCATGCACAATTCTATGGATGTATTTATCGCATTGCTTAATATGGATTTTGATTCACGCATTGTTACACCCTTCCCCAATTACCAGGGTACGTGTGTGATGTACGACGCGATGCGATGGGCAACGATGATGAAGCGAAACGTCGTACTCAAATTGTAAATGTTGTGGGTTTACTCTCCAACACACCGGTGTGCTGAAGTAGTAACTAATTGGCTGTCGGGTGGTGGCCGGTTAACGACACATTGATATTTACGCAATCCAACCCACAAAACCTTTATTATGCGGTGTATAGGTGAGGTGTGAGTGGTGTGTGCAGACCTGTTGAGTGGTGTGTGTAGATCGTGCAAATGTACAACCCTTTTTCAACCCACTGATAGATGAAGGCCTCCCAATACCATGCGGACCATTTGACCATTCTTCACGCTGGGTTGGCAGGTGGGGAGCATAGATGTTGGAGCATAGCAGCAAGGTACAACGGATCCTTCTACACAGGTCGCTGCGGATGCGAGTGCCGTCAAAAGCATTCAGCGTGTACCCTGACCATCACAAGCATTGTTATACTGCACTTTCTATGCTCCCACATCGATGCTGTCTATCCGCACCCAGCCGTGGAATTGACATGTTGACTTTGACACAACTCTTGAGTGTTTGTGGCCGTGTGTCTGGATCCTACCTTTGGCACTTGTCGCATTCCTGCAAGAGAAGATAAATGTAATGTTAGTCAGTCTGGAGGTCAACGTGGTCAATGCAACCAGGAGGTCGCGATCACCCCCAAGCACCTCCTCTACAAGCCTCAGAATCGCCCCCATGTGGCTTGAGGTCCTTTAAAAACCACTCCTGATATAGTCACAACGCGAGTGAATGCATCACCATGGTACGGGTGAGGGCATTCGTTCATCAACGAGTGTGCGAGTGAGTAGAAAAGTGAGTGACTCGGTGAGTGACTGGGTGGGTGACTGGGTGGGTGACTGGGTGGGTCACTGGGTGGGTCACGGCTATGGGGTGGGCGAATACGTGGGTGACTAGGTGGATGGATGAGTGGGTGACAAGGTAACTGAGCGGATGACTAGATAGTGAGTGACTAGATAGTGAGTGACTAGGGTGACTAGGTGGGTGACTGGGGGGTGGTGACTGGGTGGGTGACTGGGAGAGTAATCAGATGGATGACTGGGTGGTGACTAGGTGGGTGACTATGTGAATGACTGGGACAGTAATTAGATGGATGACTGGGTGGGTGACTGGGTGGGTGACTATGTGAATGACTGGGAGAGTAATCAGATGGATGACTGGGTGGGTGACTGGGTGGGTGACTATGTGAATGACTGGGAGAGTAATTAGATGGATGACTGGGTGGGTGACTAGGTGGGTGGCTTGGAGAGTTACTAGGGGGTGGGTGACTGGGTGGGTGTTTGGGTGGGTTACGATGGGGGTGGGTGACTATGGGGTGGGTGACGATGGGATGGGTGACTATGGGATGGGTGCCTTGGCGGGATGGGTGACTAGCGGGTGGGTGACTAGCGGGTGGGTGACTTTGGGGGTGGGTGACTATGGGGTGGGTGACTAGGGTGGGTGGGTGACTATGGAGTGGGTGAGTATGGGATGGGTGACTAGGGTGGGTGGATGGGTGACTAGGGTGGGTGGGTGACTAGGGTGGGTGGGTGACTAGGGTGGGTGACTATGGGAGGGGTGACTAGGGTGGATGGGTGACTATGGTGGGTGACTAGGGTGGGTGACTATGGGAGGGGTGACTAGGGTGGGTGACTAGGGTGGGTGACTGGGAGGGGTGACTAGGGTGGGTGACTAGGGTGGGTGACTAGGGTGGGTGACTAGGGTGGGTGGGTGACTATGGAGTGGGTGACTATTGGAGGGGTGACTATAGGTGGGTGACTAGGGTGGGTGGGTGACTATGGTGGGTGGGTGACTATGGGAGGGGTGACTAGGGTGGGTGACTAGAGTGGGTGACTATGGTGGGTGGGTGACTAGGGTGGGTGGGTGACTATGGGAGGGGTGACTAGGGTGGGTGACTTACCATGGGCGCGTTGCAAGGGTGCCTCGCCACGTCCACGCGGCCCTTGTCAAGTTCTTGCGCCTTCTGCCGCTGCTTGCGGCTCTCCAGCTTCTTCCGCGCTCCCGTCTTCTTCTTCGGCATGGCCGCTGTGTCACCGCTGTATCTCTAACGACGGTTAGAACATCTGCCGAGTATAATGATCGGTATTAGTGCTGCTGCTACTCGTGGTGGTAGTAGGATCACTCGCGTGGTTATTTCCCAGAGAAACTTTAGCCGAGGCCCGCGCCGCTCCACGCTAGGCCCCCGTGACGTCACGCGACAGGCAGGAGCCGGCGATGTCGATTCCTGCGCGTCGATTCCAATGCTCACGATTCGCGCGCGTGCGCCACATCTCGATTATTCGCTTCGTCAGATTAGATTGTATTCACTTTGGCGACACGGCACGGAACAGAATGTGCAGCGTACACTGTACTGGTAGTGGCGATGTTATAAGCTAGACATTGCCAACAGGTGTAAATAAACAATACGAATCTAGGATCGATTCCATTTACTTATTTACGATTCTAGACTAAAGCATCGTCATTTCCGGTAAGACTGGGACAGTGCGGCGAGCCGAACAAGGAATCGATTCCCTTCTCGATGACCGTGAGACAGTCGGAATCGATGTTGACCTTCCCAGGTTGAGGATACTGCAGGCGCGGCCTCTGAGCGCGACCAGCGAGAAACATCAACATCCCCTCCACTATACACCATACACTATAGACCATACACTATACACCATACACTATACACCATACACTATACACCATACACTATACACCATACACTATACACCATACACTATACACCATACACTATACACCATACACTAACACTATACACCATCACCACGATACACTAACATCACCTCCGCCATACACTAACGTCCCCTCCGCCATACCGCGATGATCGTGGTGCCGGACGAGGCGAAGTCTGTGCAGCCGCCGTCGCTGCTGAACGTGAGCAGCCTGGTGCTGGGCCTCACGGGGTGGAGCTCCGCGCTGGCGGCCAACGCGGCCCAGCACCGGCCCGCGTGGCGCTCGGGTGAGCTGCTGCGAACATCTTTCACCAGTCCACTCGTGGACGTGGCGAGACGAGATTACTGCCTCGCCACTAGCCAACGAGCTGCTGCAAGTGCTGGATGAGAGGGCTGTGTGGAACCCCCTAACCGAGCCGAGGTCCAGGTGTAGGGAGTAGCAGCTGCTGAGTCGAGCTGGAGTTCGGCCACGCGTGGTCCAAGCAGCTCCAAGCAGCTTCTCGTGTTTGGCAAGGGGCCATCCACTGAGTACTGGCGCAAACATCTGTCAAAACTTGACCCCCCCCCCCTTCGAACAGATCATCCACCGCCGGCTGCATTAAAGAATTAAGTGTCGTGCCTTGAAAGAGTGTGGAACAGTGTCCGCTCGGCTCAAACGCCGACTGAACCCAGTCGGACAGGCTACGTATAGGGATTTAATCCCGCTTTACTTTCTCAACCGAGTCGTTTATTTTTGTTCTTGTTTACTAGCTTGAGGCCTAGTTTTACACGCAGCTTTGTACAGTTAAACTTGACCGTATTCTTTGAGTATTTCGGTAAAGTCACGTAGATAGGTTCAAAGAAAATAATAATAAAAATGTTTTAAAAACTACGACGTTTTAATCGCAACACAAGCGTTCGCCATCAGGAATGAAAAAAGGGGCAAAGCTGCCGAGGAAGACTGTTTTAAAGGTTTAAAATGGGTGTAGCCCAAGGGTCGTAAACGAAGTGAGCGAGGCTGGTCATGTTCGTGTGAGATCGGAGGGCGCGGAGGTGGCGATGTGACTGTGAGAGATTAGTTCTCGATTGAAGTTGTGTCTGTGTCTATATGTGGATGGCTTCGTGAACGAATCTTTGTTGATAACCAGTGGGTTTGCAAAGTACCTTCGTCTTTGGGTATAAACTGAACAGTCATTGGAATGACGTTATCAACCAGTTTAAGTCAGACCTGGCTGTGATGTTCCCATCCTACCACCTTCCGATGTTAGTTATTATTTTCGGCTCTGATTTTACATTAACAGGTTAAATTTCCCACTAACAGCCTCCTCGCTCGCCGTTGCTGCTCTGCGATCTGCCATGAACATGCTAATCTCTCACATTAACATCACTAGCCCTGCCCTCTTCGTTTATGACCCTTGGGCTACACCCATTTTAAACCATTAAAACAGTCTGCTTCAGCAGCGTTCCCCCTCTTTTTTTCATCCTGATGACGAACGCTTGTGTTGCAATGGAAACGTCGTAGTTTTTTTAATTATTTTTTGTTATTTTCTTTGAACCTATCTACGTGACTTTACCGAAAGACCCAAAGATTATGAATTCCTGCAGTCATTCAAGCTTTAAGTCAATATTTATACTTGACCGTGTTATCCATCCTGACTGGTTATTCAAAAACACGTCTGTTATTATCTTAAAACACAATTAAAACTCGGTGAACTAGTCTCTATATAAAGTGTGTCAACTGAACATCTGCTTTAACAGTAGACCGATGTACAGACGAGTGTTAGTACTGAAGTCCGTCCGGGCAACAGCAGCACGAACAGAGAACACCGCGGCAGCTAAAACCTTGAGCCAGCGGCAGTCTGTAGTGAAGCCAGATTGAAGGATGTGTGACCCATGGGGCAGGCCGCCAGACTATGTCAGACTCACTGCTGAGCTGCATGATAGCTAGCAGTCAGGGGTACGGTGGCATACAAGTGACACCTCTCCCACAGGCCTACTTCTCCCAGTAGTACTTGTCTGACAGCTGAAGAAACTGAACTGTGGCTCATTTGAATGCCAATGTAGACAAATTATTATCGAGGCGTCACCTCCTTAATGTTGCATTTTCACGTAGCCATGTTGTAAACCCTTGTGGGTGACGGACATGTGGTAAACACTCCTTGTAGGGCATGTGTTCGTGCAGTTTAGAGAGAGAAGCATTGATGAGTGACATTTCGAGGCCATGCTCAAGGTGTGCATGGTGGTTCGTTGTTGTCCAAAACCTCCAAATGGAAATGTATTCGTCTGGTGATGCCAATATGCCGATTTCTTAATTTGACATTAGTGGGGGTGGAGAAAAAAAAAGTCGTGACTGACGCAGTGCCTCAAGCAGAACGTTTGCAATCGGTACAAATCGCCTGCTGTGACATGGATCTGCATGGACATCAACAAAGCGAATGGGATACAAGTTGAAAAGTACGCTAAGAAGCATAGAGATCTGCATTTTTTAAAATTACAGTGCATCAAGGGACAGGACGCTAAAACATGTACAGTATTGGGGAATCCGGTATGGGCAATTAAAGATGTAACATTGTCAAGCAAAGTGAGTGGGCCTGGGCAGGACGTGTTACTGCTAGAAGGGATGACGTACAGTGGTCAAGACTAACGAAGGAGTGGCATCCAACGCAGAGAACGGGGCCTTGCTGACGTCCGCGATGAGAGTACGTGTCCAAGAGCTACAGATCTATTGTTCACATCGCCAGGATCGCGTGTGAGAGAGAAAGATGGTTGACGGCCGTAGGAGGCCTTCATCCAGCAACGGATGATGTCGATTGTGGTGCGGCAGGCCTTCATCGGCAGGCGTTCATGTTCACCGCGTGCTGGGTGGCCGGCTACTACCTGCAGAAGCGCGCAAACTACATGCAGGCCAGGGCCAACCGCGACGTGGCTCTGTACGTGGCGCAGCACCCACAAGACTTCAAGCCGGAGGGTGAGACACGCGCACGAGCACAGGGGCGGCCGAACCGTTGGCGAGGTTTGCAGGTCTAAGCCCCTTCCAAGGTGGTAGTAGTGGCGGCTACACTGCTGCTTGCATGCAGCTGCTGCCTGTGATTCAGCGCTGTTGAGGCAGCCGAAATTGTTGCTGGATCGTAAAACTTCCATGATAATTATTTCGTGTTTTGCATAATGTAACTCGGCGTCGAACTAGGTCCCATATTTTAGATTTGAAGCTTTCGTGACTGCAAGGATTCATATTCTTAGGTTATTCGGTAAAGTCACGTAGGTAAAAAATTTTAATTAATAAAAGTAAAATAAAAATATAGGTCCCATATCTAACATGGAAAGTCCTTGCCCATGAACCTCTTTAGCCATGAACTCGTTTAGCCTGGCAGGCGGTCGCCTGTAATCCATCACTGTAGAGGCGAGGATTGGTGGATCATACCAATGTCGTAAAAAGCTCTTCCTCCAGTGGGCGTCCAGGTGGCGCTATTCCCGTGCGTTCCCATGAGAATGCTGTACAGCAAAGATTTGGGGTCCATCTGTTGTGTCTCTATTGGATAGGGTGTTACTTTGGTTTCTTCTCACATGTAAACGATCGTTAATTGGCCAATAATACCCTCATATATAGTAGATTACAGATCGTTGACACCATGTGACCGCTGGTTCTGTGGTTTCTCCTCACGCCGCTTGAATTGTTTTCTCTTAACGAGAGTGCGTGAATACTGTGCAGTAGCGCTTAACACATTGACATCATATGGCTGCAGGTGTACGAACCATAAAATGGCATGTCGTCTGAATTACAGTGGATGTCAAACATCCAGTGAACATCATTCTGCTGCTTGCTACTGCTTTGGCAGTGGCGTAGATAATAAAAACACTCAACACGTTCATCATATGACCTCTTTTGCCAGTACCAAAATAAGAGAATAGGTTTTCCCCTTTTTTCTTGCCTTTTGGCGTCTTCTGGTCTAACACCGTTTGAGACTAGGCTCAAAAGAAAGTTGTCTCTAGTGTGGACCAATCAGTTTCAAAGACAATGCATATATTATCAGAGAATGTTTTTTGTTTGCATTCTGATCACAAGTATTGTGGTTAATGCTGACATGATTCCTTGTGAAAGGTTTCAGTTTGGTGTTTTAACATCTTAACACCTGTTTTGTTGCCATAAAAAAGGGGAAAACCTATTCTCACTCAACATGTTCGTTAATAACAGTGGCCTTAAGTGAACAAAATATATGCAATAGGTGGCACTTCAGTACACTGTGCAGTGGTATTGACGAATGTCAGTTTAACACATAGGCTTTAGCAACCAAAATATTCCACAAGATTTTTTTTGGGTTAGATCACGTAAATATAAATTCATCGTTATACCCGCCACCAACACCGACACAGCCAATTAGTAATGTTTGTCAATTAAGCAAAACGCGCTATTTTGTTACTAGTTCAGCACACCGGTGTGTTGACGAGTAAACCCACAACATTTCCAATTCGAGTAGGACGTTTCGCTGGTAATTACAACCAGCCTGATCAGGCGGCCGCTTGTGGAGAAATCCTCCGGTTTCGGTCTGAATAGAGGAATAAATGTTATGTCGTCACTTGTGAGCCAATCGGGTGCGAAGACGAGAGGGGGTGGGGGGTTTAATGTACAGGCAGTCCGCGGGTTACGGAAGGGTTAGGTTCCCAAGAAATATCCGTAACCCGATTTTCCCGTATTTCGGAAACTGAACAATTTGCCCCCAAAATCAAGACAAAATCCCGTACTTCCTATGAGTCTTTGATTTAATCAAATATCTACCCTAACACTACCCATGATTAAACTAATTGAACAGAAACTGTACTGAATTTGGCCCCACCACCTCGCGCCACGCTCCGCTGTATTCATCCGCAACCTCACCGTGCTTCACTATTTGCGCTAACGTAACACATGAACCCGCACACATGAACCCGCACACATGAACCCGCATACATGAACCCGCACGCATGAACCCGCATGCATGAACCCGCACGCTCATCGGGCTGAGAGGGGAAAATGACCAAGCTGTGCCGTGGTTCTTTTTGCTACAGAGAAGAGAAAGTTTAAGGAGGTGCTGGAGCCTGCGCACCCCATCTACTAAACGCAGCAGCCGACCCCCTGGAGCACCCCCAGCACGAGACTCGACATCAACTCAACATCAGCTACACATCAACTCAACATACATCCTGCATCACTAAGTAATAGTACAACATTAACCCAGCACCAATGTCAAATCAACATCACCACCAACATCATCCCAACATGAACTTAACATCTGCCTTAGGAGGTTGGTGAACAAGAAGAAAGTCCATGGTGGTATTGTGACCCAACCACCTGGCAGTTGTGTGTGACAAGCAGGGCGTGTGCTTGTTGGCACCACAGGGCTGAGACGGCCGTCATCCACCAGGCTTATTTGCGGTCCTTGTCTGCTCGCCCCCAAACCGCGCTGCGTGGCTTCCTTGACGAGCGGCTCGTACCATCACGCGTGTCGTGTTATTCTACAAATTGCTCGAAATTAAAAGTAGACTCGAACAGACTGCGTATATCGGCTCTTTTTTTAAAATATATATTTGCCCAGATTTTATCCGGATTGTGCTATCGATATTTTTCACGAGAGAAATCCATTTGGTACTCGCAGATGTGCGACGTGCATGTGCAAGTTCTTATTCATTTGGCCAATAACACCTTAATGTATAGAGAACTGCAGAACTTGGGCAATAGTTTGTGTTGGCTCACCGCATGGCTGCTTTCCTGTTTGTCTGGTTTCTCCTCACACCTTGAGTCATTCTCTCTCGACAAGTGAGTGTATACAGCGCACATTACATGTTGACATTATTATTATCATTAAGAGTCCAGCCCTTGAGTATTGGAGAAGGGCACGTAGAACGGATATCACAGCTACTTTTGAAATCCCAGCAAGTGGCGTCTACTTCATATAGTCGGAGACAGCACATCCCCACCCGGGCTTCAAACTCAAGTTGATTTTGTTCAAATTAGGTGAGAATTCCAGTGACCAGGATGAGTTTCATTTGCAAGACTGACCTGGGTCACCAATATGATCAAGGAAAACAATACAGGCAATGAAGCAAATAGAAAGGAGAAGAAAACTAACTCGCATTGAAAATGTTGCACGAACAAATGTTAAATACACGAGTCGGCCAGGTATGTTTTTGGCCCGATAATATAATTTCAAATTAAGTTAAATTAAAATAAACATGTTGGGTGACTTGTTTGAAAATGTAAACATACAAGGATATTACAGTTAAATGCATCTTGCTACTGAGAATCATGTTCAATAAGCCACCAAACTGCACCCAAATGTATTATTGCTGATGACATTACTGCACTAGGACAAAAAAGGCCTCTTATCCCAGCCTAACTGAATACTTAGCCAATAAGTCTGGTGACACCTCAGTCATACATTGCGTGTCTTGCTGACAGGATACAGTGCTGAGAAAAAGTTTGTGAACCCCTTAGGATTTTCACAATTGACATTTAAAACCTGAAATGTTATTAGATCTTAATCTAAGTCCTAATAATAAAGATAACCTGATTAAATAAATTACACAACAATGATTCAACATCTATTTATCCTCAAATTATTCTACATTCAATAACCATGTGTGAAAAAGTATGTGAACCTTTAGATTCAGTCTTCTGATTGCTGAGTCATGAACACTCTAATTCGCCAAGGCAAGAGTAGCCTGCAAATCCTTGGATGTTTCTTTGGGGTGCTTTGTGACTTACTTGATGATTTTTTGGTAGGACGACCGCTCCTGGGAATCGTGACTGTGGCCTTGAACTTTCTCCATTTGTAGAATATCTGTCTTGACAGTGCATTGGTGGAACCCCAAATCCTTAGCAATGGTTTTGTAACTAATTCCAGACTGATAAGCATCAATAACTATTTTTCTGAGGTCCTCAAGATATTTATTTTGCTCGTGGCATGACTTGTTTCCACCCACCTGTATGGTGAAGACCAAACTCACAAAGTTTATTATCTTTATATCGGGTGGGGCCTCCCAAACTCACCCCCTGAAGATCTATTTAAACATTATTTAAATTATTCGAACACGTGTTTCTAATTATTCCCTTAATTCACCTAATGAATTAAGGGGTTCACTTACTTTTTCACACACCCTGAACCTTAATTACTAATTCTTTAATTCATACATCATTTCGTTTCAAAAGACATGGAATTTGTTCATATGAATCCTATTGGATATTTAAGAAAACACCGCTTTTGATTCCAGAAGGCTGTCATTGTAAAACTGGAATTTCCATCATTATAATTGCGGTTTACAACATTTTTCTCGGCACTATGGATGACATGGTTGCATGTTAAACTCGGAAGAAACAGGTGTTTATGTTGTTAGCTTGGAACGAGTGAATTTCTACGAACCCTTCTGAATTCCTCTCAGGTCGTTTGCCTCTGATTCGTGGACCGAGATGAGAACTGGGTGGTCATCAGTCACTCAAGCCTCACGTCAAGAATGTAGCTAAATTACATAATTTTTCCACTTAAGATATGCAGTACTGCCAATGTATTCCTTCACTGGCAGGTGCTGAAAAACTCATACAAGATCTGCTGATTCTGGTCTGAACTTTTTGCAGCCTGGCTCCATGATAGTGTAATGCGAGCGTGAATGAGGTTTCTGCTGGGCTCTAGCACAATCACACGACCCGGGTATTGGAGGTGGAGCCAGCAGGGCAGTAAGAGAAGAGCGGATCTGACGATCCGGAAGGGAGGAGTCAGGGTCACGTGAGAGAGGGGTTATAGGGGGGAGCCCGGAAGAGATCGGGGCCAGTCGATTGAGTGAAGAGGTGGAACCACGTTGGGTGACCACCGCGCCATCAGCCGCGTGGCCGATGGGGCTAGCAGGGTGGCTAGCAGAGTGTGCGGGGCACACGGAGCAGTGGTGTGGCTGCAGAGGGTGCTAGCGGAGTGGCTAGCAGGGTGTGCGGGGCACACAGGGCTGGCGGAGTGGCAAGCAGAGCGTGCGTGGCACGCGAGAGGAGACGCTGGTCCCTTGTCGGGACCAGCGGGGTGAAGGGACGAGTGGAAGAGCTGAGGAGGAAGCGAGTGCGCGGGGCGCGCGAGAGACGACGCTGGTCCGAGGAGAAGGCCAGCGGGGTGCGGAGGTGAAGAACCCAAATAAAGGACGAACGGAGACTTACATCGCCTGCAGAGTCCTTTATTACAATAGTATCATTCCCTTCCTCCGTCAATTTGGAAATCTGAGTCTTTTACATTTTAAAAATCTCATCTTAAAACTCACCTGTTTGTACTACAGGCTTTCTCCACAGCCAAAGCTGTATGTAAAGTGCTTTGAGGGCTTATGCAAATTGCACTGTATAAAACCAAGATTATTGTTACGCTTTTGTTACATTGTATATGTATTCTCTGGGATTAACATCTCGGTGACAACTCATGCAAAATGCTGCTGCCAGAGTTCTAACAAGAGTGCAGACCGCTGACCACTTCCCTCCTTTGCTAGCGTCCTTACATAGGCTTCCTGTGCAGTCCCCAGGTTGACTTTAAAGTTATTTTGACTTAAGCGCTAAATGGCCTTTGATCCATTTTACCTACATAATGTATTGACCCAATATGTACAAAGTCGCTCAATAAGGTCACAGCATTAAGCCAAGTCGCGTTTATTTGTTTAAACAGATGAGAAGGCAAGAGACCAGGATATTCTCATTTGCAAGAGTGATTCACCTGGTTTACCAAAATGACAAACGCAAAACAAATATAATAAAGTAAAGCAATGAAACAAATGGAAATCAGATCAACATAACGTATTATAACATAAGAAAATATTATGCAAACATAAATTCATGTTAATAAAATCCCGGTGTGCAAAATTGACTTCAAGACTAAAGTGGAGACAGACAAGGACATAGCAGTCAAATGCAGGTTTGCTAAGTGTGCCACTAGCAGAGAATCCTTCTGGTGGCAGAGCATTCAACCCGAGAGCCCCAACGCTGTAACAATTCGCTGTTGCGAATCGCCGTATCCTGCAGGTTTCGCAGATTTCATTCACAACTCTGCTTTCACACTTGAAGACAATGCATCATCTTTTACTATTTATCTTAAGTTTTACACACGACCTCTGACTATTTCTTTGATGTTCAGGTCTTGTCATCTTACTGCATATTGCCTTTAGCTGTTCCTGTGTTTAAAGTTGCTGTGTATTTTAAGATCACAAATTTGCTTAAACGCACCATGTTTTTAATGAGAAGTAATCATCATACGTTCACTCTCTCTGATAGCTGTTTGTTTCACTAGAATTCTGAAATATGGATTTTAGGTTACTTATTCCAGCCTATTGAAAAAGGCGTTATATATAAATAAATATTGATATGTGTATATAATTTACAATGGAAGGCCGTTATATTTATCCTTTGCATACCGGGGCGGTGGTGGATATGCACGTTGCCTCTAATACAGCATTGTGGAGGCAAGGGTTGATGGATCACACACATGTTGTGAAACTCCCTTCCCGTGGACATCGAGGAGGTGCTATACCCTGGCTGGTCTGGAGAAGGCAGTACAGCATGTGGATTAATCTGTATTGTGATAAAGTGTTGCTCCCTTGAGCAAGGCGTGAGTTTTGTATGGGTGCTCACTCCCACACGTATCGTCAACATGAATTGTCTTTAAACACCTTAAAATGCAAATACCATGTTCCAGGACACTCTGGAAAAGAGTCCTTTACCTCAATGTGGCTGTCCTGGATAAATAAGTAAATTATAAGTAGCTATCTTAATCGAATAGTGCTTCCACCTTTTCCATTTTAGACCAAACTAGGACAAATGTCTCAAGTCAGCCTGCTATCAAACTCTGCAGTTCATTGTGATACATTTCAACACAATACCTGTGTAATAAACGCAGTTTATATTTAATGTTATCCAGCGGCGACCCCAATTGGGTATCTATAGGGGGCATATTTTCCCTCCCATACATAAGGAAAAATGCCAAAAATCCCATGGAAGCGTGCGGGGCCATCCTGTACGCGGCAAGCACGCTCGGCACATGCAAATCCCAATCAGCTTGTTTGGCATCCACTGTCTGACAGAGCATGGCGGACACAGTCCTGTTCAGACGTTCGACCATCCTATCCGTCTGTGGATGGTACAGCGACGTTCTTATTTTCTTAGTGCCCAATGCGCCACAGACCTCACGTAAAAACTTAGAGAAGAAGTTCCTACCTTGGTCCGTAAGCTGCTGTTCGGGAGCACCTTTGTCTATTACGTAACCGTTCAAAAACGCGTCGGCAATGGAGGCCGCCGACTGATCAGGCAGTGGCCAAGCAATAGGCCATCGAGAAAAATATTCCACTCCCACCAAAAGGAATTTGTTACCCCGAGGAATGACCGGACAAGGGCCAAGGACATCGAGCGCCACCAGTTCGTTAATACGCGAAACCGAAATAGATTGCAGCGGCGGATGACATTTCCGCTGCGGCGGTTTCCTTCGCGCACATTCTGTACATCCTTGGACCCATTTGGAAACATCGTCTGTCATCCCCAGCC